GCGAGCATGGTGCCTTCAATTTAACTTTTGCATCCAGCATTGAGGAATTTTAAAAGCAGTAAGGAGAATTACAATAACAATATTTTTTACCTTTAGGACTACAATGCAAGCTGCTTATTTCCAATGAAAGGTTTGTAAATCAACGTTATCTCCATTTTCAGTAACGTGCAAAGTGTTGATAACATATCAGAGCCTTTTTTAAAAATTCGTCAGCTTGCGGGTGGGGAGGGAGGGGCGATCAAGGATAAGGGACATTTTTAAGTCTACTAGCCAGATACCCCAGGACGATCGCATAATATGTAGTAATTTTTTTGGGGAGCCGTCAACTCTCCAGGGGGGGGGGGTGTCGTTGGGGCATGTTCCCAGAATATTTTAAGGACTATAAACCAGTGAACTCTAATAATAACTGGAAGGCTAAGTCAGGGGGGGAAGTTGAAGCCGTGCTTGAAGCTTTTTTTGTAGGTAGACCCAGTCCTTTTTAATTTTTTTTTCAAAATATGCATATTTTTTGATCAGAAAAATCTTGCCCCAAAATATTAGTTATACTACCAAATTTAATTTATATCAGTAGTATGATAAATGAATTTAATATTCGCAAAGCAAACAAATCACGAATTAGCCAAAAAAATGCGAAAAACACGACCATAAGCATGAACGGTCTGAAAAACCGCGCGTTTTAGGCTGCTTTTTCTGAGTTTTTGGAAGTTTAAGACAAAACTAAGACGTCATACCTCAGGAATTTTTTATACCCATGCAAAATACATCTGTATGCGAAGTTTCAAGAAGATTTAACTTTTTAAGGTCGAAAAAAAAGCATTTGAAAATTGAGTGCTCATAGTGGCCAACAAGATGCCGATGACGAAAATAACATCACTTGAAAAAACGCCAATTTATTTATGTTTAAGAGCGACTAAAACAAGGACTAAAAGGTCAGGATCAATAACAGTACCTGGGGTTTAGTACAACATAAGTTTTGGGACTGTCAAAATGTTTTATAGTATATATTTTTGGTTTGAACGGCGAGATTTCCTTCGCACGTCCAAACTTTCGTCATTTTTTCAAAATACAAAAGCAAAATTCCTTTCTTTTTGCTGCAGAGAGATGTAAAACAGTCGGAACTAATCGGAAACTTGGTTTAAATCCCAATCATTGTTGTATTCCCATGGGAAAAGTGTTTTTCTTGCAAATTTTTGCTCGAAAACAAACTTTTGACAGAATTTTTTTCACTTCTCGAAACTCTCCTTAGTCCTTTTGAAAGCTGATTTTCCCGCGCGCCGGCTTCAACGAATCATAGACTTTCATCATAGGAGTTAGCCTTCCAGTTATTATTAGAGTTCACTGCTATAAACCTGGAAGTACATTTCCACCATTCACAGTAATTTTGTCTAAAATGATATAATGTGTATCACCTGATGACAGGCAGATCTAATTTTGAAAACGCACGTCTAGAGTAAATGAAAGTAGTAGAGATTCATATAGATGGTTATGCGTGACTGAAGAAAACGATGAGACAAATGATTTGTGCACGATGAGGTACAGTTCAATATCAAACAAAGGTCTTTTATTTTGTGGCTTTGAAGTTTGTCGGGCTTCCAGAACATTATATCTTGACACTCTATGTTAATAGCTATATGTCTGCGCTTAAATACTTGTCTAACCTGTATCACACACCTTACAATTAGTAAGGTCTATGATCATGGCGTGATTGCTTGTTCCATGCATAAATTAAATCCTCGGTTTTGGGGATTATTTAAATTTATAATTCAAATTTGGCATAAAAATTTGTTCACAATTTCAATTTTAGGCCGCGATTTTGAACATATTTTGGTCTAGTATTTTTGCACAAGTGAATAGTTAACCTGCACCGTAGCACGAGAACGAACGAATAGCCTCATTAACTGAACGACAGAGTCGTACCCTTTAATTCGTATGATAGACGTTTTATGTTGGCTATAGCCTGGTTCACATTGATCGGCGATGTTTTACGATCCATTGTCTGTGAGCAACGAAGAAGAAAATGCACAAAACATTTTATGCATCAATGACCACCGACAATGGGCATCGCCGATGTTTACGATTAATGTGAACCAGGCTTATGAGATGAATCATGAACTCATTATAATACTCGTAAAGTTTCGTTTGTTGTTTATATTGTTAAATATATCAAGCCATATTGACCGTGACGGCAGCTGTGTCAGGGTCAGGGAGTAATGCAATCAATAGAACAATAAATCACATGCATTGGTCATTGCTGTTTAGTGGTGTTTGCAGAGGTAGAAACAGCAGTACATGCAGTCTACCGGCGGCGCACTTCACAAAGCTATAAACAAGTTATAATAATAATAATTTATTAAAAACCAATATTGCAGCAATAGCTGAATTACATTGGATGATAAAATCTACATATCTACATGTCTACGAATCTACATATTAAATTGGTGCACAGATGCAGGAATAAAAGAGTTTCTAAATCTATTTGTAGAATAGCGAGGTTCAATAAAATGTCGCTTGTGTCTTAATGAGTATCTAGCATTAATGTTAAAAGTTGGTAAAAGATTGTACAATTTGTGGTTTGGATCGTTCATAATTGACCTAAATAGTTTCTGACAGAGAGCTTGACGTCGATCAGATAAGGGGCAGAGCTTTGTAATCTCCAAGCCTTCTCTGTACGATATCCCCGGTCCTAAGATGATGAAAAGGGCTCGTTTTTGAATACGTTCGAGATCATCGCTTAGATATCTCGGCAGCGCATAAGGAAAACAGGGGCAGCATATTCGATGACACTGCGAATACACGAACAATAGAAATAGATCATATCGCCACGAGTAACTTTGGCACGTTTAAGCTGCCTCAAGAAGTACAAACGTTTGGAAGATCTTTTGATAACACACTCTATGTGGCTATTCCATTTCAGATCATTGCTGATGATAACCCCAACACTTTGGCATGACTTACGATTTCAAGTTCTTTATGATTTATGGTCAAGGGACGATAAGAATTTTCCACTCTGGAGAATTGGATTCGCATTTCTTTACACTTTTTTTCGTTCAAAGTAAATTTTAACTGTGCTGATTGATCTTCGATGCTGTTTAAAGTCGCAGACGCATTTCGCTAAATGATCCTCTGGGAACCACTTCGGCTGCTGTTAGGTCGTCGACATATTTCCAATGATCATTACCATCTGTGTCTAGGTCATTGATCATTAAAAGATAGAGCCAGGGACCTAATTTTGTACCCTGAGGTACTCCTGCTGGGACGGAAGACCAACTGGAATAAACATCATTTCCCAACTTTACTTTCTGCTGACGATCGGTGAGAAAATCAATCACCCAGAAAACCACCCAACTTGGCATATCTAACGTTTCAAGCTTTCTTTTCAGGATATGATGATCGACCAAATCGAAGGCTTTCTTAAAATCCAATAACGCCAGTCTAACTAGAGCACCATTGCCGTCCGTCGAGCTCGAGAGTTGATGAATAATGCCAATAAGGGCTTGGGTAGTTGATGATCTAGGAACAGTTCCAAACTGACGTCCGTCCACTATCTTCAATATGGCAGGTTTGACATATCTTTCAACTACGACCTCCTCAGCCACCTTTGACAGAACGGGCGTCAATGATATTGGTCTCAAATGTAAATTGATATCTAAAACATGTTTTTGCTTTGATAAGGGTGTTACGTTTGCCATTTTCCAAGATGCGGGTAAGCCAAGTTCACGAAACGACCTATTTAATATGTCGTTTACTGGCTTTGATAAAACATCCGCATTTTCTTTAAATATCCAGGTTGGGAGGCCATCTGGTCCGGGTGCTTTTGAAAGTTTAAGATGCAGTAATTGTAGAAACACTGAATTTTCGGTACACACGTCCTCTAAGGCAGATACTTCGATTTGTAGAGGATCTTCTTGTCGAGAGGGTAAAGTTGCGAAAGAGGCCATGGGTGATAAAAAGGCTTGATTGATGCGTTCGGCCAATTCTTTTTGCTGCTCATGAGAAAAACCTGTGCTCTCATTGTCATTCGACATTAACAGGCGTAGATCATTAGATGGTGATGTAGGGTCCATTCCGCACAAAGATTTTACATGTTTCCACCAAAGCGCGGGTTTTGATTCTTTCAGATGCTTCACTTTCGAGTGGAAAAATGTAGCACGACATTTCTTCCTTTCACGATTAACTCGATTACGAAGAACTTTGAAACGGACTGTGTCACCGTTAGTGAGCGCTTTCTGGCGTTGCGTAATGAGGGATTTAAATCTGGGTGTTATCCAAGCTGGCTCGTTAGAACAAGATTTAATACTTTCCAAAGGAAGCAAAATGTCCATACCAGTACGAATAATAGTTTCGAAGGTAATAAGTTTGTCTGCGCAGCTTTCGCTTTGATTGAGAATTGACCAGTCGATTTCGTTAATAAAGGAACTGAACGCTGTTCTATTGCTTGGCCGCAGGTCTCTAATTTTATGTATAATTCTCGTTTCTTGAGAAGTACGTCTTGTTTTCGGTTTAAGCAGAATAGTCAGGTGATCAGAAAGACCAAATGACGACAATTTCTCAGGGGTTGAATAATATTCTTTTAAATCAGTTAGTATCAAGTCCAAGGTATTATTTCCGCGAGTTGGGAAATTGACCAATTGTTTGAGTCTAAAATGTCTAGAAAACCCACTAACGTTCAACTTGTTGAAGTCACCAAGAAGAACCGTGCCAGAATTAGGAAAGCTAGACTCGAAAGCTGAAAGTTGACAAGATAAATATTCGTTCATGGCTTGCGCATTAGAACTGGGTGGATGGTATACTATTCCGATGATGATGGATGAGAACCCTCTCGGGAGGCGAAAAGGCCGAGCTTTAATCCATAGTACTTCAAAATGGTCATGATGGTACTGAGATAAGACCTCGTAGGGAATAGAGTCGTTGACATAGCAACAAACGCCACCGTGTTGACCATTAACGCGGTCTCGGCGAACAATGTTAAAGCCTGGAATGTTAATAACGTTGTTGTGAACTGAGTCTGTCAGCCATGTCTCGGTAAAGCATGCGAAATCGACCGGGTGGTTAAGTACAACTGAGCGAATTTCATCGACCTTTGGTGCCAAGGACATCGTATTAGACAGAAGAAAACTAGGGACGAAGTTAAGGGAATCTGGACGTTGAGTTACTTGGGTATCTTGAATTGTGATGGACAAAGAATCGCCACCGAGCGAAGGAGTTTTATCTTCGACCTGAGTATTTAATAGGTCTATAACAATGAGATTATTCCTATTTGGGCCATTAAGTCTGGATGAATGAATAGTCAATGAGTCACGTTTCGCTCCGGTGGAAATTTTTCTCAGCTTGCCAAGACAAAAATTTGGCCTACATGTTGTTATTATAGGCTTAATTCTTGAAATATTTGATGTAAACTGGCCCCCGCGACTGCCTCTCATCTTGCGTAAGATCCCCATTGATTTCATAGTCGACCAAGTATGTAACGACAGTTGTTTTGCCGGTCTCTTAAATCCAGTTTGACGAAGACCTTGAGATTGTACTTGGGTGGAAACTTTGTACCAACATCGCAGCGAAAGAAGATAATTTTTAGAGTAACTGAGCATTATATGATAACTCTGCTAGTCTAATAAACTAACAGTTATGAACAATCCAAGAAAACGGTGAGGATAATCCACAATTTTATAAAAAAACGAAGAGCTTTACAATAAGCAGCCTGACGGCGCTATTTACATATTTGTAAACACTGGTCACTACTTTTTTCATGAAGTCAATCACAAAACACGACATTGTAGATTGGTATTTACTCTATTTATGCAAATATACGTGTTTCTTAATTTAAATCGTTTCAACCGTAGCCATCGTAGACGATTTACATATGATTCAGCAACCGCTCTGCAGTGTTTAGCAATTTTGGGTAACATTTTATTGCCCGTGCATATACCTGTGCTGAGTAGAGGCATTGAATTGTTAGAAGAAGAAAGATATATCAGGTTAAATAACGAAATAAACCATGCACTGTTAACCACGAGTTATTACTTGAAAGTTTCTGCAAATTATTATTCCTGACAACAGCATGCCCCCAAACAAATATCCCAAAGGCACGTTTGGCAGGAGTATTGTTTCCCAATCTTGTGCGTTCGGCGTTTATCCAATTATCGCGACTTTTTTAATGAATTAGAGCAATGTCTCTTTTGGAATTAAACGGGGGAAAGAGTCGAGTCCTTTATGCAGATTGTATGTGATGCAGGCTCAACAGTTTACTCGTAAACGAGCTATAGGAGAGGAGATAGAAGACAGATTTACTATCCTTTTACTTTCCGTTTCCTTTACTGAGTGAATTAACCATGCATTTTGAACGCGAGTCTGTTGGTGAGAGTTGTATATAAAAACATGCGCCCAATCTAATAACCCAAAGCTAAAGAAAGCTAACTTTCCTTTCTGTATTCTGTAAATACTATTGCATTGTATTTAGGACACTTCAAGCATAGATTAGGAAATGAATAGATTGGCTCACTCCTTTGATGTTTTTGACGCCGCTGGCACCCACGCATATTCTTGCCAGAGTAATGGCGACCTAGCAAGAACTATAATAAAATGTATTGTGAAATTGACATCCGTGCTACTAAATCCTGTATTTTTCCGCTTTCGGGGGGTTAAAGGAAAAATAAATCAGAATTATAAAAATACAGGATTTAGTAGTACTGATGTCAATTTCACAATGCATTTTACTACAGTTACTTGTCCCTTGAACTATTCATTCGGCAATGTCGACATGATATAGAACAACTCCCCAAATTTAGGCCCAAAAGGCAATCCAACCTCACTGACAATGAATGGCAGACATTCAATTTATAGTGTAACTTCTTGACGATTAGAATATATCAGTTTACTCACTGGACGAAAATTCATAATGTACTGTCTCGACCGACCAGCAAGCCTGGTTTTAAGAGTTCCGACGCATAAGTACGTTTGTTTTGGAAAGTCATGTGATGATCGTATACGATTGGCTGCGAAAATTCATAATTTTTCGTCTCGATCAATATGCAAGCAAGTTTAAGCGCGTTTGTCGTTCAGTTAATGAGGCTATTCGTTCGCTTTCGTTGAGTTGTGCATGTCAACTATTAGAACTAACTAGTATACGCGCCTGGCATATCGCGGTATACAGCTATTTCAATTAAGGTTGTCCACGAGCGAAGCGGAAAAGTCGAGTACGAGCGCGAAAGGTTGCTGGGAATCGCTTTGAAAAATTCATTAATTTGTTAGGGATTCCCAGCAGCCTTTCGCGCCCGTATTCGACTTTTCCGCTTTGCTCGTGGACAACCTTAATTAAAATAGCTGCATATTAATGCTGTTCTTTTCGCTCTTCGTATACCACAGGTTTACACCTAAATCGGAAAGGAACGAGCTATCTTAGCAGTAACTTTTCTAATTATATATGATATTCGATTCGGGCTAGTTGCAATCCAATAAGTATACTTGAGTCTGGCTTTCCTAAAATTAGGGGCTTTAAGGTAGCCATGCTAAACATTGTCAGCCTGCCGAAATATATTGATGAGATTAGAATTCTATTAGCTAAGCAAGATCTTGATATTCTTGCTTTGAATGAGACTAGGCTAGACGATATGTTGTCTGATGATTTAATGTCTGTTCATAATTATGACCTGATTCGTACTGATCGGAACAGGCAAGGTGGTGGTGTTTGCCTATATATTAGAAGTAATTTAAACTATCTTAATCGAAATGATTCAATCCCTGCTACTCTTGAAGCAGTCTGTGTTGAAATTCACAAACCAAACAGTCAACCATTCATTGTTGCTAGTATATATAGATCTCCTAGTGCAAGCTCTCAGTATTTTTCTATGATAGAATCCTTTATTGATAAACTTGATAGTGAAGGTAAAGAAATTATTGTGGTTGGTGACTTAAACTGCAATATGTTAGATTCGTTGAATTCGGCATCCAAAAAACTAAATGACTTTTTGAATGTCTATCAACTTTCCCAATTAATCGTTAAACCTACTCGTGTAATTCAAACCACAAGCTCCTTATTGGATGTCTGTATCTCCTCACTCCCTGAGAAAATTATATATTTCCAATCGGAATTAGCGATCACAACTTAATATTTGTTGTTCGCAAAATTAATGTGCAAAAAAGGGTGAGAGCCCATCAGACTTTTGAAATTAGAAATTTTAAACATTTCAATCCCAGCAGATTTCAAGAAGATCTTTTATCTCAGCCATGGGATCTTTTAGACAGTGAGGATGACGTAGACTCTAAATGGTGTTTGTGGAAAACTTTGTTTCTGGCAGTTCTTGATGTGCATGCCCCTCTTAGGATGAAAAGAGTAAGAACCCGAAGTAATATCCCTTGGTTGAATAAAAATTCTAAAAAATTAATGTTTGAAAGGGATAAACTTAAATTGAAGGCAATAAAATCCAATTCCACTTTAGATTGGAATGCATACAAGACGGCCAAAAACGTTGTTTCATGCACTTTACAAAAGGATAAGCAATTATATTATAGTAATTTGCTTTATAAATACAAACACAATCCGAAAGAAAGTTGGCAAACTATAAATCGAATCCTTGGGCGAGGCCATAATAAATCCTCTATATCTAGCATTAGACAAAATGATAATATTATTTCTGGTTCTAATGAAATAGCTGAGACTTTCAATGAATATTTTTCTACTATCGGAGAAAAAATTGCAAATTCCGTTGATTCTGGAAATACTCACTTTAGTTCATACATAAGTAAATTATCCACGACTTTTGAGTTTGATACTGTATCTGTTGATAAAGTTTTACATTCATTTCATGCTTTATCCTCCTCTAAGGCAATCGGAATTGATAAAATTCCAATAAAAGTATTGAAACTTTCTATAGCCATTATAGCGCCATCTATGACTAAATTATTTAATTATGTAATTCAGAATGGGGTCTTTCTTCGCGATTGGAAGGTAGCCAAGGTTATACCTCTTCATAAGAAAGGTCCCAAAAATTTGTTGGATAATTATCGCCCAATCTCTATCCTTCCAGCTATCAGCAAGGCCTTTGAAAGTATACTTTATGAGCAACTACATGGCTATTTATCCAATGCTAGCATACTTTCGAAATGTCAATTCGGTTTCAGACGATATCACTCTACAACTACGGCTCTTCTTGATAGCACTAATCAATGGTATTCAAATATGGATAAAGGTTTGCTTAATATTGTTGCTTTTTGTATCTGCGCGTAGCGCAGATATATTGCTATCGCGTCAGTCAGTAAAGTAAAGTAAAGTAAAGTAAAGTAAAGTAAAGTAAAGTAAAGTAAAGTAAAGTAAAGTAAAGTAAAGTAAAGTAAAGTAAAGTAAAGTAAAGTAAAGTAAAGTAAAGTAAAGTAAAGTAAAGTAAAGTAAAGTTAAGTAAGTTAAGTTGTTAACTCGTTAAGTCCGTCAACCTTGTTTTGAAGACCTGTTCGCAGGCTAGAACAGCTTTAAAACAAGATGGCGTCTTTCGAAAAGCTTTCAAGAGTAGTATTAATCATTAGTAATCGTGGTATTAATAGACTTTATTTTGACTTTATTTTGATAAAATCTTCTTCTATAGCAGTCTTGGACTGATATAACTCTTACAGTCAAACCGGAAGTTCTGTTCCCATGAGTATTGCAACATTGCAATCAATCTTGCAATGTTGATTGCAAATTGCTCCGAGCAAATTACACGCAAGTATGCAACTGTCATTTTTCAAGTTCCTATCACTCCCGTGTTGGGTCAAGAGAATAACAAATCAAAAGGACTAATATTTTGCCTACCACTTGACAAATTAAAGGTAAACTGGAATGTATAGAGGATATTTATACATGGTTGTGCGGAAGTATGTAATTTATTTCGAGTGTTGAAAAGAATTATTGCTAACGAGTGAGCGTAGCGAATTGCAAGTTGTTCCATTATGTGATTTAATAATCTAAATTTTTGAGTAAGGTCATGGACATATTGTAATTATTATTATGAGTATTTACTATTTTATCTTCGTATCAAACCAAATATATAGCATTGCGAGCTTTAATTGGTATTAAACTCTGCCAGTTTGAGAACATATGTTTACGTCATATTTAACTACCGCAAAATAAATCCCTCTTTGGCACTGAATTTTGCATGTTATTTAGTATTTTTGTATCACGTTAAGATCAAAATGGACATATTTCTTGAATATACTTTTAATCTGTGAAATGATATATATAAAAATATTAGTTCTCATACTTCGTTTTGGATTTGTTACTTTTTGTGATAGATAGGCGTACCAAAGCCTTGATATTTCCAGAGGTATTAAAATACAAAATTAGCCTGTGACAGTATGCTCCTGATTTTACTTCATACTCGATTTGGAGCAACACAAGTTCTACAACAAGAACGTACACGATGTACTGTGCAAATATAAAACGTCATATTTATAGATATTTGATTGACATGTTTACGCACAGGTCACGCATTTCATACCGCACGGGTTTTCCCTGAGTTTTTATAATCGGGGCTTCCATTTCCGGCAATTGTTTTATGGTTGAATCTTCACGAAACAATTACAAATTTTAGATAGACAAGCAAATTATATTTGCGTGTATATCTTGACTGTTATTTAATGGAGGCCTCTGAAACTTGGCTAAACTATGAAAACAAAGTATAGGATAAACGTAGCCCTGTTGTTTTAAATGTCAGAAACTATTATTAGCTCATGACTCCATGTACAGACGTCTAATTCCACGTCTTTGAATCCACACATTTTACAGCCTTAATTAATTATTTTCTTTAAATTGTTCTTAAAAGTAATGAACTGTATGAATAGCAGATATTTAGCTCCAGATAAAAAGAAAATTTTTGTATGATTGTTATCAGTTGCCGTGATTCGGGATATAAATGGTTCTCGTCCTCTTAATTTAGAAGTCACTGGTTAAATGTAAATATTATATCTGAAGCAGGCATATAATTTCAACTAGCACAATTTCGCACAATTGCTGTAAAAATGTAATTCCCAGAATGCAACATCAATGCAGTAAAGGCCTGATTCCACGAGCGTTTTTTACTCGGCGAAATGCGAAACATTTCTACTTACTGCGAAAGCGGACAAAGTGGGACAATTCAATACAATCGCTCATGTGCAACCACCGTATTTCGCAGACACAAGTTCTCGCGACGAATTTCGCCGTCGTGGAATCAGACCTTAAGATCCAGACACACCGGACGCGATTCGACAACGCGACGCGATTTTTCAGTTAGTTTGAAAAACAGCCAATGAGAGCAAATCAGTTAGAAACATATGTAGACCAAGTAACTTAGAATGTTATAGCGCTTCTAAATATTTGGAAAATTTAAACTTGGATCAAAGTTATCGGTCAGTGAAAATCGAAAAATCGCGTCGCGTTGTCGAATCGCGTCCGGCGTGTCTGGACCTTTAATGCGCAGATACATGTACGCGGTCGCGTACCTATTTTTTAGATCTTAAAAAAGCTTTTGATACCATTGATCATGAAATCTTGATTGAAAAGCTAAATATGTATGGGATAAAACGGCATTCATTGGGGTTACTTGAATCATACATAACAAATCGGTCACAAAAATGCTTTATAAATGGTACATTATCTCATTCTAAACCGATTAAGTGTGGAATTCCTCAGGGATCGATTTTGGGGCCACTATTCTTTTTAGTGTATATTAACGATCTGCCTAATTGTTTAAAATACTGTACATAGATGATAGATAGATAGATAGTTTAATTAATTAATTAATTAATTAATTAAAAACATTACAACCCACGGGTTGAATTACGCTTCTAACTTTACAATAAATATTTACTTTATCTAACATACATTGTAGAATTATGTTGTATAAAACTATTTTAAATCTATTCGTCCTACTAATAGAAACGTTGAAAATGTTCTCTTTCCTTATATAAATATTTACTTTATCTAAAATACATTGTAGAATTATGCTGTATAAAACTATTTTTAAATCTATTCACACACCTGTACACCGTACACACACCTGTACACTGTTCTGTACACCGAGATGTTTGCAGATGATACGACGCTCACTGTGTGTGGCAAATCCACACATGAAATTTCGTCTGCTTTGAATCATGATTTAAATAATGTTAACGATTGGCTAATGGCTAATAAGCTTTGTTTGAACCCAGAGGAGGAATGAGGGTCTTCCCGAAATGCAACGCGCGAATCAGTGCGGCTCATTATTGTTCAAGATATTTATTCTCAACGCGCCGTTCGATTAAAAACTGTTGAAATATATTGCGATTTTTGCTGTGAAGACCTCGTTTTCCCAAAGGTATTTTTTGATAACCTTTTTGTTTAGTAATTTAATAAAAGAAGTTTTGAATAATTTTGTATATATATCGCATTTTACTTATGTTAAATTCCCATTGTATTTATGCATGTTTTGGGTGTTGGAAAAGTGGCATTGATATATTTTGGAGTAAATTGTACTTTTTTACAAGGAAACTAAAATAAAATCACATCAGTGAATTCAGGAATGTTTACTCTTTATATTGATACTTTAAAACATGAATTTACTCCATAAAACCGAAGAGTTATCGCGGTTTGAAAATGAGCTATTTTTGCTAATTATCGAATATAGCAAAAATAGCTCATTTTCAAACCGCGATAACTCTTCGGTTTTATGGAGTAAATTCATGTTTTAAATACAATTTACTCCAGAATATTTCAATGCCACTTTTTCAACACCCAAAACATGTATAAATACAATGGGAATTTAACATAAGTAAAATGCGATATATATACAAAATTATTCAAAACTTCTTTTATTAAATTACTAAACAAAAAGGTTATCAAAAAATACCTTTGAGAAAACGAGATCTTCACAGCAAAAATCGCAATATATTTCAACAGTTTTTAATCGAACGGCGCGTTGAGAATAAATAGCTTGAATAATGAGCCGCACTGATTCGCGCGTTGCATTTCGGGAACACCCTCATTCCTCCTCTGGTTTGAACCTTAGCAAAACGGAATATATGCTAATAGGATCCAGGCACAGCATCAATAATCTTGTTGATAATCCTTGTATTTCTGTTGATAGTAAACTTTTGAACCGAGTGATAGTGACTGAGTCTCTAGGAATTCATATTGACCAATTTCTCTCTTGGGATTTTTATATTGAGAAATTGACAAAGAAAATTTCTAGTGGCATTGGAGCGATTTCTAGGTTAAAACCGTTTGTATGCAGAAATACTCTTATTTCTGTCTACAACGCTTTAGTTCAAACATATTTTGATTATTGTTGTGAGGTGTGGGATCCGATTGGCAGTGTTTTATCTGATAAATTGCAGACTCTTCAAAATCGGGCAGCAAGAATAATTATGGGTTACCCAAATGAGCACGAATGCTCAGAAGCTGCTTTGACTGCGCTTGGGTGGAAAACACTTAAGGAACGTCGATTTGAATCTAAAGCCAGACTCATGTATATTGTATAAGATTATTCATGGTTTTGCACCTACTGCGCTTACTGAAATATTTTCTAGTGCTTCAGTTGTCAGATCTCATGACTACAATTTACGTAATTCTGACATGAAGCTCAATCTTCCTTTTCCTAAAACGGAATATTTAAAAAAGAGTATAAGTTTCAATGGTGTTAAATTGTGGAACGATTTACCTATTGAAGTTAGAAACGCGGAAAGCCTAGGAATTTTTAACTCGCTTTTATGTGCAACTATCCTGTCACGATCTACTAGTTTGTAAATATTTAACTTTGTATATACGTGTCTTGTTGTTTATTATGTGTTTTAAATTTTTTCACCACGCCCCCCTTGGAAATCAATTTGTATTGAAGGGGTTAGCGTGTTTCAATAAAGTTTTACCTACCTACCTACCTACCTACCTACCTACCTACCTACCTACCTACCTACCTAGCTTTCTAAAAACATTCTCTGGTAAAAATAGAACAATTTGTATACAAAAATAAAACATTTTGCATATTAATAATCGAGACAACAATTATTAGTATACAATTAAATTAATATACCTGGATTCAAACATTTCAACAACTTAATTTCTTGCCTTTTTAATTTCAGCGCATGTAGGTTTTGTAATGGATGCAGCAAGCCACGCTCTATTTGCTGGTATAACAAAAACTAGGGGAGGTGACATTTCAGTTGGTATTTCTACTAACAATGTGGAAGTAGCAAAAGAATTAATAAATAAACTTGGTGGAAAAGTAGGCATCGGCATAGGACTCGCCCTTGGTGCTTTGCTTGCCTATAAAGTTATCAAACCATTAATCGATGACGCTGTTAAAAAAGGTTTTGGCGGTGAAAGAAATGACCAAGAAGTTCGGGGCATCAGACCAGGATCTTTACATGTTCTACTGCATTGTTTTACGGATGAGAGATATTTGGAAGTCTTAGAAGAGATTGAATCTGGAAGAATGAAAGAACGTTTGGATAAAGAATTTTTAAATATTGGCATTCAAACAGAAGGCCTAATGATGGAGATTGAAGACATGGAAAAAGTGAACAAAACAAAGGAAGCTATAAACAAGAGGTAAACACTAATTATGCGATATTGCAGCAACTGGATATTCTGCATTCGCATAGGCCCCACTATGAGTTATGATTGAAATAATATTGTATTTATTTTTAAAAACCTACTTGAATCCCTTGATAATCGATTATTTCTTCTCTCCAAATTCTGTAAACATTTTAAACTGCTTGGAGTCATTATACTATCACTCTACATGACGTTTCACGAAGTATAGATGATCGCTGACAAGTAAGGACCGCGGGCGCGAAAAGACGAAGGCGGCAAAAGAAGGGAGAATTAAACTAAAGGGTTGAAACTTCGACTAGATGACATTTCTAAATGCCTTAAAATTCACAATTTCTTTGTGTTTTCGAATATTTTTTTTCAGATTCTATGTCTTTTTGGACATATCTTCACAACTGATGTAGTAGATTCAATAAACGATTGATTTTTCGTATGTTTTTACATGAAACACTCGAAGGGTTTTTTCGCACAATGTGTTCCATAAGTAGGTTGTTCTCGTGACGTCAAGTATAATCAGGGGCGTAACTTGGGTATCAGCATTTGGGGGGTGTCAACAATATTTGCCCAATAAAATCAAGTTTTGCCCGACAAAAAGGGGCGTGGACAGTAGTAGTTCTACACAGGTATTTGCTAATGTATATAATGAATATGCACTATTACTATAACATCATCGTCAAAGGTATGGATGTCACTACAGTCATTTAAATTCGATGTATCTATTAATCTATCATGTTGCAAAACGAATAACGAATTATTGTTTTTTATAGAACTAATTAGGTAAGCGGAGACATTAGCACAAACAAAAACGCCAAATAGAAATTTATAGAGTTATTTGCTTTCCTGCTTGCCAGTTTGTATACGATAAATCGATAATGTTACTGTCTTACTGAAGACTAATTATTAAACTTTAGAATTTAATCTTCAGTTTCCGATTCTTTTTGCTAGCCCACACTTTCAGAGCTTCGTCCAGATCGACTTTGTCTGTTAAATCCTTTTCAGCTGCTAAGACAATCAAATCTTCGAGACGTTCGTCTGACATGGTTGATCGCAGGAAATTCTTGATGATCTTCATCTTGCTGAACGTCCTCTCATCTTTTGCCACGCTGACTGGGGCAGTAAACAAAAGCTTAAATACTTTAAAAATGGAAGGAAAGATCGACTTGTGTTCATATGCCAGATTACAGACATCATTAACGGACTTGAAAGGATCTTGGCTCCTGCCAACGACCTGTGCAAATATTTCAAATTCTGCTTCTAGACAAGCAGGATCGACAGTCTCAGATGGCGGAAACAACTTGGAGATTTCTTCGGCTTGCTCGAAATCCACGCTTGTAATCGGAGGTTGAAGAACGTCTGCAAGAGGTTGAATCTTTTCCAAGCATTGTTGGACGTTTTCTTTGTACTCTGTAATAAGTGAATCGAGTACTTCAATCATAAACTTTCGGTAGTGCGCATAAAACTCAATGGAAGCTGCGGTATCTGGGTTGTCATCCTGTCGTCTGCTCATCCTTATCACTCCTTTGCGACGAAAGTCCTCTTCAGGATCCTGATCGAACGATTTTGAAAATTCAACACTAGCTTTCACTTGGTTATTCATTTCTGACTCGTTTCTTCTTATCGTTTCTAAAGAAGCAACAGTTTCTTCGATTGCCATGAGAGCATCTAAAATGTTAAGCTCTTCCTTCTGCATTTGAATGGTAAGTATTTTGGTAATCTTCATAACCAAACGCATAAACATCAACGCAAACATGAAATCGAATTTTAGAACTTTGCCGTGAAGAGAAGCGGCCCTGGTCTGTGCCGATGAATCAACGCCGTCCATCGTCGATAAGGTCAACAAGACGTCTTTGATGGCTTCGAATGATCTCCACATGGCTTCTATAGATTCGCTTCTGTACACCCAGCGAGTCTTGGAAAGGTTACGCAGCTTAAGTGCATTCTCTATTTCCTTTAGCTCTTTACGAAGAACACCATCTCGCTTGCAACTTTTACTGAAGAAGACATAGAGTGCTTCCAATAGGTCATACATCTGAGTAAACAACGTTGTTTTAGAGCAGTGTTCGATAAATGTATTAGATCGGTGACCCTGACATGGAATGTACGGGACGCTACGGCCTATCAATGTTTGCAGGCATTTTTGGGCTCCTTTGAATTTCCCTGACATGGACGCAGTGTAATCGTAGGACTGATAAACCAGTCCATCTTGGCTTCCAATTTTTGAGTTGAGCGACTGCAAGACTTCTTTCGCTTGACCCTCACCAGACTTGTCCTTAGTTTCCTTCATTTCTAAAACTCGTTCTTTAGGCTGATTTTCTTCATTGACATACCGCACCGCCACGACAAGTCTATCAGTATTTGCTGTGTCAGGGGAGGTGTCAGCCATAACTGAATACATTCCTGCAGATTCAATTTCATTGACAATTCGGCCTTTGACATCTTCAGCAATGATGTTGATGAATTCATTTTGAGAGATAGCAGATAAATATTTCATAGAATATGGCTTCATCTTTTCATTTGACAACCAATTCTTTAAATGGCTATTATGGCGCGCCACAAGATTTGTTATTTGGAGAAAATTTCCATCAGCATCATCATTAGTGCCTCTGAATGCCAGTTGTTGTCTTCCTAATGTTTTAGCGATGTCCAATAATATCTTTATTATCTCCTGGTTTCGTTGGTTGTTTTCTTCCTCTTGAATTTTGGCCGCCCTCAATTGCTTATTGAGCATAACATCGACATGCTTTATGTTGTGTGCAAATTGGGCAAGATCGCTTAATGCAGCTTTATGCGCTTGGCTTGAGAAGTGCTGTGCTAATTTCCCTTTCTTTTCCTTGCCGACGCTTTTCATTTTGTCCCATCCTTTAACGCCTTTAACCCAAGCATCAGAAGATCGCTCTCTACCAACTCCAGTTGGAAATAGACAACAAACAAAACACGAGGCTGTGTCTTCTTTCACGCTATACTCTAGATGTGGATATTCCTTGTACCACCCGCTTGAAAATCTACACTGTTTTTCTGTTGAGATGTCTTGGCTTTCTGGATAACGCTTCAACTTTGGCTGGTAGGGGCCATTCTCGATGATCTTTTGTTTCTGTTGGTCGCTGAGTGTCCGAGGGCGGTCAGCAGGATCTTGAAGAGAGGTAAAATCAGCGTCAACTTGAGCCATGCCAATTTCTAGGTTACTTTCACGAATTTTGTGAAGCGTAGTTGCACAGTTTTTCTCCATATTTGTTGAATGTTCTCTTACTTTTGAAATTGCCTCACGTACATCTGTCAACAGTTCTTCAGGGTAAATAACCTCAGATGATAAAGCTTTTGTTATAATACTATCGCACTGGTGAGAGTAATCTACTAATCGCTTGATTTCTGCTGCATGGACTATCCAAGGAATCTCTGGATCATCTGAGACTTGTATGTCAGGATCATCGCGTGCTCTACCATAATTTGTGTTAATTGTTTCACTGTCAGTGTCAATCTGTTGTCAGTAAAAGATAAATGTAGTGTATAAGGCGGCAATGAGGATTAGTTAAAAGAGTGAGCTATACATATAGCATGTAAGATTGTAAGAAAAAATATAGATAACGTTTTTTGCGAGTTTCTAAGCAGGTTGGAAATAATTTGGAATTATACCAGATATTTTCCGTACTTTTTTATGCGGTAAAGTTTAAAAAATATCAAAAACAACATTTGAAAAAGTTCCATGAAACTAGCACTCCATGTAAGTGTAACGTCTATTACAAGTAGAATTACAATCACCTCTTCTTCCTCTGATTCTGAAATTGACAATATTGTTGATACTGCCTGTGCCTGGTTCACATCGTCATAAGACACCGTTGTATTACACTCATCACCTCTTTCGTCATTACATATGTTATGAACTGCCGTTTCATGATGATCAAATTCAAGGACTAATTCTCCATGCATCAATACTTCATCTTCATCAACATGTTCAATTTGAACTTCCTGTGTATAATGACGGTATTCAAATTTATAATAACAAAATTTAGTTATATTCTTATAAATTCGAAAGAAAATTTCCTAATTCTTGTTTAAACTTTATTTACCTTTTGAAATACATCCTCCTGGTGTTCTAAAACTGTATCACTGAATGACTCTTCGGACTGGCGATTTATAGTGTTGTCGGTAGCCTAACTGTAGCTACTGAAACTGGAAGTAACTCTTTCTGAAATTAACAACAGATTGTAATTAGTTCCCGTTAAAACCATAGCGGTATCAGCCATAAGGGAATTTATTTTTACCTTTCCATGTATATTGTTGCAAAATTGAAGCGTTGTTTGAGCCAGATCAACCACAACTTTTGAGGTGCCGAGACCCTTGTGTTTGTTTGAGTTATGCTTCTCAAAATGATCGCTGTTCATTTCTTTCCCACATTTATTGCATTTGACTTTACATCTGTACTGCCTTTTCCGTTGAGTTTTTAGCTTTTTTTGAGGAGGGTCCGGTGCAACGTCTTTGTCTCATCGAAACAAGATCGAAAAAATCGAAAGGCAAAATCAAATCGGGCACTTTACAAATTACAATTTGCAAACATTCAACAGTGACATTATAATTGATATTAAAATTATAAATTATAACAAACCATCCATTTCATTTGCATATTATGTCGGATACACGTTAGCACGTCGTGAGCTGTGAGCAGATCTTTAAAACATAACAATGAGTCATAAAAAGCACTAAACCGTGAATAAACTTTCACATTTTCGTCTCGTTTGCATAACAATTACACATTTACACGTTTTCGATATTGAGCCCGCGGTATCATCGTAAAGGTTTATATAGTACTTCATTTCTTGCTGATTAATAAAATGTATGATCCAAACACGCTAAGAACAATGCTAAAAACAAAACTCGGTCGTCGGTCAATCTTCAAATTCTGCTATACGGTTTTTTCGTTGTTTACCTACAGTAAAGCAAGGTAACCTTGCTCAGCAAATAGCACATGCTTTGAACAAGTTGCCCGACAAAATTGCATTTGTAAACATTGGGGGCGGGGGTGTCACACACCCCCACACCCCCCCAGGAGTTACGCCCCTGCCTCCAAGTTTCTGTCATATGCACAAGCAGCAGTTCAGTTGAAAGTTTCTTTTTGTATGCCCACTGGTGTTCAGTGACTTTTGTTGGGTATTCGCTCATATGATTTGAAATAAGTTCGCTTATCCCTTTTTCCATTATCTTCCCAGGTACGCTCAACATTGACAAGGGTCTGTAATTGTCCCTTTCAATCTCATTGTCTTTCTTATGTGCAGCCTTAATTCAATTCTGGCTACTTTCCATACGTTCGGTGTGGTCTGTGTTTCAGCGCTGTGTTTAAAAATATATGCTATCGATGGTACAATTGCTGGCCCAGCTATTTTAAGCATCCTTGGGCCGACTCTATCAGGGCCAATGGCCTTGTTGGATTTAAGTTTTGATATTTGTTCCTGAACAAAACTGTCTGTAATTTGTATTTTAGACAACGTTGGAATTGTTGGGACAATTTGTGAAGGTGTAAAAGTGTATTGGGTTATTTGAGGGTTTTGATTTTGATTTGAGCTTGTCTCATTTGCAAGTTGCTGTCCAACTGTCGCAAAATGCTTATTTAAAATTTCCGCTTTCTCGGTATCTTCAGTTGCCAATGTTCCGTTTTCCCTCCTTATAGCTCTAATTTCTGGTTTCTCTCTCGCGCCCTCTGCTTGTTTGATTAATTTCCAATATTTACGACAGTCCGTAACTTCGTTAGATAAATTTGCGAAATATTCAGCTTTTAGTCGTTTGAAGTCAGATGTTACCTCATTCCTTACTTTACAATATTTTTTAAAAATGTCCTCATCCCCCGTATTCTTTGCGAGACACAAAAGCTTGAATCTGTTGTTCATTTTATGTCTTAGCGTACCTGTTACCCATGGTAGTGAATTGCTACGGAGTTTAACAGACTTGAGAGGAGCGTGTATGTTACAAACTTCTTGAAATATCTCTTTCCATGCCCAATAAGAATCGTCTGGGTCATCAAACACTTCAACTACTGGCCATGGAGCATTCTCTAAATCCTTTCTAAATGCAGGCATTTCCAGCTTTTTATAATCACGGGTTTTGATAAATTTTGGTGCTGGCTTTTTGGTCTTTAAGTTAATTTTTGTAAATATTAGGGAATGATCAGACAGGCCGAAGTCGACCGTAGTATTAGCCAGGACTAATTGAGGTGTATTGGTTACGACTAAATCTATCAACGAGGAACTAGTCTTTGTTATCCTCGTTGGTTCCTTGTTTATAACATTCAATCCGTACTGCGAAAATACAAATTGCATTTTTGCATCTGGACCCGACGCATAATTTGTATTAAAATCACCAACAAGTAAAATGCTTTTATGCTTTAGCCAAACTTTTTCTAAAGTTAATTGTATTTGATTGTAGAATTCAGTGTCCCATGGGGGTCTGTAGATAAGTCCTAATACAAAGGAGGACAATCTTGAGGAAACTTTTACCCAAATGGATTCTATACTCGGATTATTAAGTCCTCTCACCACAGTCACGGTTAAATGATTTGCAACGTATAATAAACATCCACCGCCTTTCATGTTTGTACTTCGTTTCCCTTTAGACTTTTGTCTGTCTCTCCTTATAATACGATAACCCTCTACAAATAACTGTTCGTCTGAGATTTCACTGTTTAAGCGTGTTTCAGTTAAGGCTAATATCTCAAACTTGTAATTTCCCAATAGCATCTTGACCTCATCAACTTTGCCCCGTAAACTACGTATATTTAGTTGTGCTATATTCATTACATTCCCTCTGGTTTTCCGGCTAGATGCTAGTTCTGTTAAGACAGGGAAATAAAAATCTGCCATACAATTTTCTGTGGATTGTTCATCCAAGGAAGAAACCGATGCATCTAATTTTGGAAGTTCACATAACGCGCATTTCCATGTTGTTATATCAACCCCAAAGTTTCCTGCTTCGCATTTGTAATGAACTTGCGAACAACAGTCATTACATGTCAGTAGTTTCCGATTTCTTCTTATCGTTTTACCGCAGCAATTACAAACCTGGTTTTGGCTACGATTTCGCCTTTCGTTATCTTGTGAAGGTCCTGGATTAGTTTCAATATCTCCCCCAAGACTAACTTCAATTGGTGATAGCAATAAATGTCCGTGCTTTGTCCACTTTGCAATCGGATACTTGATTCTTGACCCACTCAGCCGATTTGGATGCTTATAGGTTGATTTTATAACACGAAAAAGGTTCCTGATATCGATAATACTATTGCATCTGAACTGGTTATCTTTTGGTTCTGAAATTACGATGCACGAAGCATAAAATTTTGTAAATACTAAGAGCCACAATAAGCAATGCACACCCAGCGCCATGTTTAATAATTATTAACTTCCTTAAATATAAAGTTTCTAAAATCTTGCACATAGTGTATATCGACTACTCGAATAAATTATTTCTACTAGTTGATTGCTCACAATTCGAAAGAAACAGGCGAAATATTTCGCATTTCGCCGAGAAAAAGCGCCCGTGGAATCAGGCCTTAATGTAAAATAATGAAAAAATTCCTCGAACTCAAATTTTGTGAACTAGTGGGGTGTGTCTTTCCCAACAAACTAAAAATGGCTTGCGCACGAAATTTAAAAGCTTTAATCATATTTTGAGTAAATAGATGAAAAATTTGTTGGGTTACTAAAAATCAGCTATTTACAGTACATGCTTAATTAATGCCTTTGCCTAATTTGCATATGTCAGCAATAAATTAAGCATGTGAAAGGCTGATTTTTTAGGAAAAAATGAATAGTTAAACTAAAGCAAAGTGTTTGATATTTTGTACAGTAATTAAAAACCCAACACATTTTCCATCTATTAACTCAAACAGGAATAAAGCTTTTAAATTTCATGCGCAAGCCATTTTTAGTTTGTTAGAAAAGACAGGAATTAGCTTCTATTAACCGGTAAAGATTATAGTGACAGTGGGACCAAAGTAACATTGAATTTGTTTTCCTGACCTTAAAGTGGAAAATACCCCAAACCGAACAACAATATTTATTATAATAATATATAGTGAAAATGTGGAATTATATTCAACAAAGCAAAGTTGGATTACTGAATAAAGGAGTGCTAATACATTCTGTTGAATTAAATTATTCTTTGATTCTTTGCCAATTTTATTAGAAAAAGGATTTTCACTGGGGGCCAAAATGGATAACTGGGGGGGCGGCCGGGGGGCAACATGACAGCTGGGGGCCTTGCTGACTATAAGCCTAATTTAAATTAAAAATTAAGAAACAAGTAAAAGGCATTGTCCACTTCAGAAAAGACAACACCATCATTTTTAGGGCATGTGGGTCACAAAATTCACACGAAAAATTTTTTCATGTCCGTTTGAACCAATTCCCTAATAATTTTCATGTAATTTTACCTCCAAAAATGTGCATCTAGTTTCTCAAATGTTCCAAAAATTGGAAATATCTGCTTTTCAAACAATGAGAAACACATTCTCTGCCAATAATCATGACTAGCATTGCCCAATTGTGCTTACTGTATTATTTTTAGTTTACAATCATTGTCAGATAAATGGCAGGTTATACCCACAAAGCTGAACACTCCTGTATGGGTAACCTTAACTATTTATACAGAATACTGTACATATAAGTGATAATTATTAAAAACACGATTTAACAGAGAGACTAGACAAGGGACGACATGAATGACATTTACACAGAATGTTTTGAAAGTTTGTGGCACATCAATGTCATAAATTTCTTCAGACATTTTCTGCGGGCAAGTCACCTGAATTGATTAATAGAGAGATTTATTACCATATCCTATGATGCATGCATGGGCCTATGCCCACTCTGTCGGTAATTTTTAACCCGTCATGATAATCCATTGTGAATTTTTGTTAATATCTTGGTATTATATACTATGTTTATAAAAGCTTAGTGGCGATTGAACAATGTGTTTTAAATGTCATGCTATATGTAAAAGGTGTAACTTAACACTTGCCCAGGGCAAGTGAATACAATGACAGGCAAGTAAACATTTTATCTTGCTTGCCCGATTGGGCAATGCAAATTGTCTTGCCACAAAATACTGGGCATCTTTGTAATGGGTTATTCCAGAAAAGATCCACACTCCCCCCACAGAGGAAATTTCTGCCATCCAGAGAGGGAAGGGAGAAAAAATTGTTTCTAATAATAGTAAATGTATTAGGACATCCAAAGGGCGTAAGGGGTTAACTTCCAATTTCCTCTGTGCGGGAGGTATGGATGTTTTCTGGAATGACCCAATTTATGCTTTCATTGTCCAATAAATTTTTTATAGTGCATGTATACTTGATTCAAATTTTGTTTTTTGTGGGCCAAAGCTTAAGATCTGAGGCAGTATAACATAGCCATAGAGGGCAGTGGGAGAACGGGTCGATATGTTGTCCCCTTAATTTATACCCCCTACTTACAATCGTCCACAAAATATTTGAGACAAACCCCCTCACCCGATTTCAATGTTGTTAGGCACTACAATATAGTTTAATTCCAACATCATATGGTAAATTTCAACTGCCAGTGACACAGTTGCGGTGCTAGTGTCACCTTATGTTCGTTTTGGACAAGTACAGTACGTTTCAGCATTGAAATAAGTGGGGAGGGGGATTGATTTAAAAAGTCTCAATATATTTTGTGGACGATTGTCCTAAAAATTGATAAGACTTGAAGTTAATAGCATCTCGAAGTTTTTTTGAAATCACTTTTTGTGCATGTGTAGTAGTCACTGTAGATGATACTATTGGGGTTATTGTTCACACGTAGAATAGTACAGTACTACCAAGTTGACCAGGGGGGGGGGAGATATAAAAGAAATGGGGGAGAGATCCAAGTAATATCACTATATGTTTGTCAGACGATTATATTAGAAATTAAGAAAACTTAGATGGCAGCAGCTCGAAGTTATTTGAAACCATGTTATGTGAGGCACAATAGCTGTGGGCGAGGGAAGGGAGGGGGGGAGGAAAATTTAGTTCCCAGAGGTGTGGGGACAAGGATTAAATATTTAAGGAATTTTTGTGAAGTAATAGAAGCGTTTTACTATTCACTATAATTTGGATAGTATTGTTAGGCCCATACAAATATCTCTACGTTGTATAATGGTACCATATCAAGTCTTCTTCTGACCCGGACGGGGTGGGGGAGGGGGGGGGGGCCGTCGAGTACATCGTTGGATCGGTCCGTTAAGTTAGAGAATTAACCGTGCATAGTTCTTAGATAAAGTCCTATAACTCCACATGGATTAATAATACTTTAGTTACTCAAGTTAATTAATGGATAATTGAATGTTGATGAAACTATAAGCATTTTTTAATTAATTTTTGATTACTTAGTGGGGTCAAAGTTTTAATTTATTCAAGTTACCATAAACTAATGTTTAATATGGCTTTGAAATATAAATTACTAAAGCAACCTGTTACCACGCATTGCCACATTGGTTACCATGTACTAATTGTTTTATAATATGGCTTTTCTATTACGAACAGAACACATTACCACGCGTTACCACGCGTTACCATACGCGTTACCATACGCGTTACCATGTACTAATTGTCTATTTGGCTTTTCTATTTTTAAAACAATGCATTTCCATGCGTTATCTCAGATAACCATACGCGTTAATGCCTAGTAATTATATTCATTATGGTATTTTGTTGATAAAGCAACGCGTTACCACGCGTTACCGTCAAGGTTTTAATAAAACGTATATACTAGTTTTTTTAAATAAAAGATGGTAACGCGTGGTAACGCGTGCGCAACTCATGGTAACGCGTTGTTAGTCATTACTTGCATATCGATCTTGTAGTTTTGAACCATTAGAAATGAACTTTTATTGCGGAAGTTTTATTGTAGCAATATTGAATAACTGTTTGATATTAGTGGTAACGCGTATGGTAACGCGTGGTAACGCGTGGTAACGCGTTGTTAATATTTGAATTTGGAGCGAAAACAGGTAGCCCAAGCATGTACAATAATTAAACTAATCCGAATGGCTAATTTCCAGTTTGAGAACGAGGTTGTTTACATGTTGGCGTTGTTCTTGAATTTACATAGTACTTTAGAAAAATCTTGATTTGTGATGGTTGCATGATATTCACTCTCCATTATCGATATATCATTTTCGAATCGAAGGCAAGCTTGCGAAGGAACGTTAGATGCCGGTAAGGTATGGATTTTAACTTAACTTGGACAAACTATCGCATAATATAATACTTGTATATCGTCATGTATACTATGTAGTCCAAATATGTTATGCAAGGTTTGTTCGTATACATTAACATAAGCGCTGCCAAAGAAAATATTATGCAATAAATAGCCAAAACCTGCGCTCGATTTTGCCCAATTTTCAGACAATCGTCCACAAAATATTTGAGACAAACCCCCTCGCCCGATTTCAATCTTGTTAGGCGCTACAATATAGTTTAATTCCAACATCATATGTTAAATTTCAACTGCCAGTGACACAGTTGCGGTGCTAGTGTCACCTTATGTTCGTTTTGGACAAGCACAGTACGTTTCAGCATTGAAATAAGGGGGGAGGGGATTGATTTAAAAAGTCTCAATATATTTTGTGGACGATTGTAGGTTCCCCAGTGTTCCCCAAATTTCACTCAGGTCAACTAATTTTCATGCCCAACTTGCCCTGAGGGCAAGTGGTCAAAAAAGTAAAGTGTTACACAACTGTATATTCTTTTAGTTGTTGAGGGGTGATTTCTGCCAGTAAATGGCTTGGCCATTAGCTGGTGAAACTGAGTGGTAACTTAAGTAAAATTGTCTGATCAATAAGTCTGTTTGATGAAAGCCAATGTTTTAACTCGTCAAAGAAAGACCCAGGTGGTTGTACATTAATGGGTAACATAACTATATGATGTGACCATTGTTCATTATAGGCTCACTTACGCCCGTATTCTAAAAGCACACTCACACTCAATGAGTGGAGATTAATTCAAAGTCAGGTGGCTTAGTATTCTTTTTTATGATTTTTGTTACCTGTCGGATAAAAGCACCAAATTTGGCATGAGACTGCCTTTAAGTCTATTGATTAATTTTAGGCTAGGAGCCCTCCTAAGATATTTTAAATTTTCCCGCAAATCGTAAAAAGACTCGCGTACGTAGACTGAGCATTTACCAAAATCCAAGATGGCGGACATCCATAAAAAATTAAACACTGTTCGGCTTCTAGATGTCGTAAAAATGTCAAGATTGTTCCGAATTAGGGGTTTTGAAGGTCGCTGATTTTCATTTTCTTCATAAAAACATCTCAAACTTGCATAACTAAGCTAAAACTCGCGTGCGTTTATTTTGTTACATTAATGG